GTAGGAACAAAATGCACTGACCTATGGGGGGAAACAGTATCGGCAAGTACTCAGATCCAAGTATCGGTATCGTATCGGTTTGAAAAAATTGGTATCGTTGCATCCCTACTGCTTATGAAATTCATGAAGTGCTACAGAGAAAATTTGATTTTATTTATGTAATCAACACATTTTGAACTCTTAAAGAAATATAACAAAAGGAAAGACACCCAGCCAGTGCCCTATGTGAGAGTGAAGCTTTTCTTTGATTAACCGTTTCTTGTCTTTTCAGCAGATTCTAGTCTGTTGACATCCTTTGTTGTTGTAATATAACAGTATAGTTGACTAGTTATCTGTCCCCTGAGCTTAGCATTGTTAATCCCCTCATCCCCTAGCCCTTTCCTGAGGGTGTAAGAGTGGCTTTAAAGGAAATGGCTTTTTTTAGACAGTGGATGAACAGTTTATTGTCAATCATAAAATGTCAATCATGTACATCAACATTAGTTGACTGAAGCCACAATACTCTTAAAACAGTTTGCAGCTGAAATCGGTTTACTTGTGGATTCTAGTTTGATTTAAGTTGGCCATGACACTAATGCTGCGGTGTTTTAATCAACAATAAAAGGCTCCTACTTCACTATTGCTCATCTGAGTCAGACTATGTAATATTTTTAGAAAAGAGTATATAGGCTACGCTTTTTCAAAAATGTCGCCAACATCCTCATTTATCTTAAAAACTCAAATTATTTCAGTGTTACTCTAAAAGTCATACCTTGATGACGATCAGCAGGTAGCACAAGCAGATGACCAGCAGGGGGCAGAAGAATCCAACAGTGCACGTGTAGACAATAAACGATGTCTTCCACACTTCTGCTGGTTCAGGCCACACAATGCTGCAGTTCCCATCATCCTTCAGCACGTCCGCGAACACCACTACTGGCAGCACCACCACAAAGGACCCCGCCCAAACGGTGCCACTGATAGCCTTAGCCACATGGGGGCGGCGCCACCAAGAAGAGCGGATGGGATGCACCACAGCCAGGTATCGGTCCACTGACATCACAGTTAGACAAAAGATGCTGGTAAACTGGTTGATGGCATCCACTGTCATAACCACTCGGCACATCAGAGAGCCGAAAGGCCACGAGAGCAAAGCGTTCTGTACCGCCAAGAAGGGTAGGCCCAGCATGAAAAGCTCATCTGCAATGGCTAGATTGAGGATGTAGATGTTTGTGACTGACTCGTGTTTTGTGTAGTTGACAACAACATGGATGACCAGAGTGTTTCCCACCAAGCCAACGACACAAACGATGCCATAAATGAGTGGGATGAAGATTCCAGCCAAGCCAGGGAGGGATCCTGGTTTACTTTTGGTGCAATTTTGACAGGAGCTGTTAAGGAGATCTTGGTCATCTTGGTTGAAGCTGTGAAGCGGTTCGGAGGGAGTAGAAAGGAGCAGGAAATGAGAGTAGGAGGGGGCAGAGGTGTTGCTCCAGGTAGCTGTAGGGACTTCCTGAGGCAGCAAAGCAAACTGGATGAGCTCCATCGAGGCGTTAACGACTATCAGGCAACAGTTGTTGGTAAGCTCACATCTGTAGAAGATCAGCAGCCCTACAGAAAGCAAAGTTAATTAATTTAGCACACTTCATGTGGACATGAAATATAAAGCAATTAATGCATTAAAGTTGTATTCTAACATTTTGGAGATGTCCAGTTAATCAACTCTTCCAACAAATCAGCCGTGTTGGTTGTTTGTCCACTGAAATGTGTCTGTAAAGCTATAAAGTTTCTTCTGGGACCTTTTCTGAGTTCTGTTTTCAGTTTCTGTTCGAGCAGATCTGTTGTTGGAGAAAATGCTTCATCCTTTGTAGCATCCTTTACATCAGGGGTCCCCAATCCCAGTCCACGAGGGCCGGTGTCCCTGCAGGTTTTAGATGTGTCCTTGATCCATCACAGCTGATTTAAATGGATAAATTACCTTCTTAACATGTCTTGAAGTTCTCAGAGGCCTGGTAATGAACTAATCATGTGATTCAGGTGTGTTGACCCAGGGGGAGATCTAAAACCTGCAGGGACACTGGCTCTCGTGGACTGGGATTGGGGACCCCTGCTTTACATGGTAGAATAGACACAGCACACAGTTTGCATGCAATTATACACACAGCAGCAAACTTGTTGCTTAACTTTAAAATATAAATATAGTACATAATAATAGTTTTTGTCAAAGTATAGAATTTATGTAAAACCCTTAGGAGTAAGAAAGGTGCTAGGTGTTATTTATCTTAGATTAGCACCTGGATTATCGTTAATCCAGGTCCATGAAACTTCAACTAAACTGCATTATAATTGCATTTTAGAGTTTTAGAGGAAACATCTAGGCTGACTGTGTAAAGGTAACAGATTTCCCATCACATCTTAGATTGTTCTTTGCTAGTATGGACTTTAAATTATTATTGGATAGACAGCAACTTGGGAAGTCTTGTTACCTTGAGGTTGCCTGGAGACAGCCAGCACTCAAGTGCTGTATTGTTCTTGGTTTCAAGTGGGCAGGAGACTTTCGCTGCATGTTTAGTGTTTATGTCTTCTCTGTAAAAACTCACAAGTGACATTTTTTTGCATCTAGACAACAATACTATATAACTAGCTAATGTGAGCTTTAGGGGTATTTATATGTTTTAACAGGCTTCTGTCAAAAATAGACATGCAAGCACTATTAAATTTTTCATCTTACTATTGGCAAGAGAATGAGTGAGCCAGTTTAAAAAAATATAAAACTGTGTCTCTAAGAGATATGTAGTAAAGAAAATTAAAACATAGGAAAAAAATGGCATACACAGCAGTAAGAGAGAATGAACAGGCAACGACATGTATTGACAAAGACACACTTTTCTATGCACACATAACGTTGACTGCTGCTGATGTTGGACAACACCTAAAAGTTTCAAAAGTTTGGCCACATCTGCCCAGTGGCTTGATGAATACTAAGCTATTAATAAACATAACAACCTTCCTTCCGTCACAACAAAACAAGCGAGCACCAGAACACAGACATAAGGTATTTAGTTTTATTAGTACGAGACTTGTTTATGAAGCCATCCCAGCTTCTTAATCACCACTGTTCCACACACAGGCACACCCTCATCCCTCACAGCGATGGTTAATAATTGGTGCTCTGGTAGGAACAAAATGCACTGACCTATGGGGGGAAAAAATAGCAGAGGCATATCTTCTGCGACCTCAACTGAGTAAAGTACATTAATGCAGATGTGAAGATGAGCGGAAGAGCGGGGAAGGTAAGGTGAATTATATACACTACTAAAGAATCCCCCAGAGACAGTTACTTTAGATTAAAATAAGTACAATTATTGGCAGCACACAGGAAATGTACACACTTTGAAGCATGACTGAATTCTCTTTCAGTGTTTGGAGATTTTTTTTTGCTTTGCTTTAATTACATTTCATTCATTACAACCTAAAGGGCACCAATACCACCAGTGGAGATTAAGACCACAGTGTTCACTGGTTAAACACGTGATCAAATCATGGTGAATGTCAATCCTTATGTACAGTTTTTAGACCAAACCTAAGAGCCATCCATAGGTCATGACCTCAATTACTAAATGTAAATGCCAGAGGATGGTATATGCTGTGGATCTCAACTGCTTAATACTGCTACTGCTTTTATAAAGCAACCGGGTAAAGACAAGAAGTCGATAAATATAGAAATATTAACTTGCTAGGAGTACCTAATATCGAATTACACTTATACTTGGGGTTATTTAGGCTTTTAAAACCTCATGTTTAAATCAGAAATTATTCAAATGAAAGAAGGCTAAGATTGATTTTTTTTATAATGTGTGCACATTGTGTAAGGAGTCTTTAGTAAAGAGATCCTATTGTGACATCATCATATAAGGGAGTAGTGATATATTGAGCTGTACTGGAAAAATCCCCTGGAGGGAGTCTAGACGGTAGTGATAGCAGCGCAGGGGTGAAGGATGATGCTGGAGATCTGGATGGATGTGATGTGGAGCATGACAAATGGTGAGATTAATGGATGGACCTGAGGACAGAGGTCCTGATTAAAAGTGGAGATGAATGGGGTGGAGGAGTTTTCCATCAGTCTGACAAGGAAATGACCACAGAGAGCAGCAGAGGCTTAGACATTTTTTAAATGACCACAGTGCAAAAAATTGGATAAGAGACAGAAACTATGATAAACACAGAGAGGAACATCATCAGTCAGTCGACTTTATAAACTAGGTGCTGTGTGAGAGGGAACATGAATGGGTGGTATAAACGTGAGACAGTCTTCTTGACTAACCTTTGACAGGCTTTGTATCACAAACAGTGCTGTGATTGTGAATATTGAGTTGTACAACGTTCAGGTGTCACACTGTACAAAGACACGGAGCTAAAATGGTTTAACAGATTAAATCGAGGCACCAATTAATTCTCTGGCCTCAGTCATTGATTTTTTTTCCCCAGTCAGCGAACTTGAGTGACGTGTAAAGAATTTCAATAAGTCCTTTTCAATAAAGCGTATCAGGAGTACACACAACAGAAAAGAATGTTGTAATGCAGTAAAAGTGGTTTAGCAAAATATTAAAAAATCAGCTAAGGCACAAGAGCCAGTGTTCACTCTTAAATCCTGTCTCCATAAATAAAAAATATAAAAAAAATTATCATTCTGGTTTTTATGGTTCCAAAATTTATTTTAAAAAAAAACAGTTTTGGATAGATAATGAACAAATAGTAGGAACTTTTCTGTGGTTACACATTGTGACTATTTGGAGTGCATTCTCTTTGTAATCCAACCTTGTGGCTAGTATGTGCATCATTTATTAAGCTTAAAAAATCCACAGTTACCTTTAAGTTCTGTCCTTGTCTCTCTATGCTCCCTTTTCCTCCTTCTCTTTCCTCTCATTCAGCAGCCAGTCACAGCACAAGGCTGCCCCTTCCTGAGCCTGGTTCTGCCACATGTTGCCTCTTATTAAAATCGAGTTCTTCCTCCCCTCTGTTGCCATGTGGTTGCTCACAGTGAATTGCTGGGTTTTTCTCTATGATATTGTAGGATCTTTATCTTGTGATAGAAAGCGCCTTGAGGCAACTGTGGCTGTGAATTGGCACTATAATAATAAAATGGAATTGAACATATAAAAACTATAATAATGCAATTTACATTCATGGTTAGTGAAGACAAATGATTTTCTAACATATCACAGGCTTCACATCACCATCATAACGAGAATATCTGTTAATTAATATATAACAGGGGAAATAACAAGTTTAATGGTTCCATAACACAAACTGGAATGGTTGCAGGTATCTTTTGTTTTTTTTACTCACACCATACATTAGATAGTCACTGAATGTCCCACTGAGATGTGAACAGTCAGCAAGGCTAACCTAATCACACACACACTCCCCTACACTCTCCTCATTTTGCCTTTGCTATTGCCTCCCACCCTAATCTCTGATAAACACAATAAGAGCAGACTGACAATTTTTCTTCCTGAAGTGCATCACTTCTCTTGTCTGCCATTGCACGAGCAGCTCTCTGAAAACCCTCCCAGGAGGTGTTGCTATGGTAACATAAGGTCAAGACAAGGCTTAAAGGTCCCTGCATGGAGCAAATTGACGAGATAAGTGAGAGTCTGAATGACTGCTGATTGAAGAGTCCTTGCATTTACATTCAAATACAAAGAGTATTGTGTGTGAGAGGCCAGGTGTGTGACAAATGCATTTGTGCATGTGTGTACACAAAACCTGCCCTCTGTGCATCTGCAGAGTGAAGATAATATAGTCTTAGAGATCTCAGGGTAAATTTATGTTAACTGGTTGTTATTTAAAGTCTGATGCTAGCTGAAGTGATGATTACAATTCTAAATGTTCACTTGTTTGCTATACATATCTATATTTATGTGCCATTTGTGGCATAGAATGAATATGTATAGTTTTCAAAGCAAATCTTAAAATAACAGGTTCAACACAAAATATGATTGAGCTACTGGTTTGGCAAATTTTGCATAGTCTGCTCTCTCCTAATACAGACATACGGAGAAACAGAAGCTAGAAAGTTTGTTAAAAATAGGAAGGTACTTACTTTTTTATTATTTCACATCTCAAGGATTACTCCATCATTCTGGCAAACAAGGTTATACAGTGATATGGCTTAATAATTCAGTGTTCTGGTTCACTTTCCCCACTTTTTACCTCATTTTGTGGCTGCAGCAGGGAAAAGCAAATGCCAAGCATACAAATTTGAATATCAAACACATTTGGAAAAGACTCAAGATTGGATTGAGGGAGTGAAACGGTAATCTTCTGTGGTTTCGTAACCTTATCATTCTGTGCAAGCAGGAAAAAACTTAAATGACGTTGAAGCTGTGCTGAAAAAAATAAATGTAGAAAAAAATCTCATGTGTAACTGAAATATGTATTTTGCCTGATCATTAAACTTTAATGGTAACTTACTGGTTGTCATTTACAGTAATTTAACTATTAATAATAAGTGAATGCCATATGCCACATATGAGACTGAATAAAAAAATATAATATATATTAATTTTACAAAGTGACACAATGAAAAAGAATAAAAAAATAAATTTAAAACCTTAATTTGCAGTTCTTTTATTTTTTTAAAATTAATGAATTAAATGTAAATATATTTAAAAAACTGAAAAAAGTCTAGAAAAAAAAAATGTTTAAGTGAGATAGCACAGGGTTTACAAATGAACTGGTGAAATTGTACCTATTTGCTGAGGCAGTACAATGAAAGGGCCTGGGTGGGGTGACTGTAGCTCCGGAGGTAGAGCAGGTCACCTACTGATCGGAAGGTTGGTGGTTCGATCCCTGGCTCATGTATCATTGGGCAAGATAACCCCAACTAACCCCAGGTTGCTCTCGATGCATCCATCGGAGTGTGAATGTCGATAGAAAGCACTCAGTTTAGAGAGAGTGCTTGTGAGATTGGGTGATTGTGGCATGTTGTATAGAGCACTTTGAGTACTCTGGGAGAGTAGAAACGTGCTATATAAGAATCAGTCCTTTTGTACAGCATAATTTGAGGCAACAGCAGCAGTTCATAACCTACCGAAATTATGCAACGCTTTCAAACTGTCGGTGGTCTAAGCAGCAGTCCTTTCTATGCACTTTTTCACTACACACTTTAACGACATTACAGTTCAATGTGTTTTTTCTTAATCTCATCAGTCCTATGTTTTCCTGTGCTGGCTTGAACACCTTTAGGCTTTCACGTCAGAGACTTTCTCACTGCTCTAATTCAACTCTGACTAAACTCAATGCGGCAAACTCAGTTTGTGATTACCAACAAATGCATGTCATTTTGTTCCTCATGAATCAGTAGAAAATAAAATCCACTTTCACTGAAGCCTCAGTGTATTTCAGCATAGGCTTTACAGTTAGCCTTTGAATTAGCTGAAGCCAAGATGTCATCTTGAGATTTTCAGAGCCTTTTCCAGAGGAAAGACTATTATACTGAGTTATGCACCACCTCAGCAGTTATTGTCCCCCGATGGAATTCACTGAAGGTGTGTGTACTCATAACTGGATGCCATGGCTGGCACTGCAGGACAACACACTTCTCTACTCCCATATCGATCATTCCAGCTGTTCATCCACAACATCACTGAATCCCAAATTCAGTTATTTCCATAATGATGCTTGCTCATAACTGCAAAGCGACACTAGCAGTATTGTACTTAGAGATTAGCTGGTGAAGCGACAATTGCTTGGCACATAATAACCCTGGATACTATTGTTATGGTTTCTGCTAATGAAAATAGCTTGCACCTGCTGTGAGCTTCAGCTGTTGTGTCTTTCAAAGGAACAAGCTGAAAACTTTCAAAAATCCACATTCATGCTAACAGCGGTTTGGTGCACGATGCTTTAATAAACACTTTCAACATCAGTTTCCATGTTTTTTTTTTATGTTTTTGTTTTTTCCCCATCATGTTGTACAACCATCAATTTGGCTTTAACCTCTGGTGTGATTAACCACTCATAAGACAAAAGAGAGCATAAGAGACGGAAAAGAGATGTCCTTGAATACATTTCAATAGTTGAATTTTTGGAAAGCATTTATACTAACATTAATGGTGACTCTCTTTATAAGAGGCCTGGTGATGATTACATGGTTGATACTGGTGGTAAATACATGTTTCCTCCTCACTGAAAACTCTGTTGACGCCTGCGTAATACCTCGTAATTGTTCAATCCACAGCTTGGAACAAACAACCTCCTGATGCAATCTAGAGGCCACAAGGTACCCATTAACACAAACGCCTGTCTGGCAAATGTTTTGTTGGGGAAGTGAATGCCTGCTGATTGCCCAAAGGGCTGCTCATTATTGTTACATTCACTAAGTGCATTTTAGGGCATTTCTATTGTTTCTTTTAATGTCAGTCTGGTCTTTTCTTTTTTTTTGTCACCCTTATTCCTAGCATATAAAAAATAGGACAGAAAAAAGCAAAGACTGTTGGTCGTGTGGCCACCAGGCTGCAGAGGGTATCTCATAAAGGTACATGGGAAATGGGGAAGAGTAACCATCACTCACTGCACAAAATAGATTTCAAAGCCTTACTTATCATGCCATCATTAAGAAGGTGCCAAGGAATTGCAGCATAAACTGTATACATTTATGTGCATCTGTCCATTTATTTCATATGGTTTATAATGTTAGTTATAATTGTGGATACAACTGATCATCACACGACGGTGATGCTGCACAAAATCATCACTTGAATTCCTTGCTGCGACGTTTTGAGCTTGGACATGAACACACCTAAGTATATGTACACTTCGTGTAGACAAAACATTTAGAGACTGGAGCTTGAAACACACTCCTGCATCTGTGAATTTGCATTATATGCCAATAAAATACAACAATAATGCTAATGACACACACATTTAAAAAAAAAAGCTTACCAAAGTCAGTACATTCTAGGTTGGCAGCAGTCTCCAGGGTTAGGGTAGCTAAAGCTGCTAGCAAATACTAGGTAACGCCTCAGCTAGTTAAAAATCACTGAACATGTTTGTGCTCTTTTGGACCATTTTAACGAGTTTATCCGGCAAATTATATGTCTTCTGTCACAAAAAGGTCTGTGACTTAAATTGTAATACTGTATGAATATGCTTCAGTCTATGTATGCAAGTTGCTAATCAAGATAAACCACATTAGCTGCTAACTAGCTGCTAGCACTACAGCTTCTCATCCAAATATGGCCATTGTTTACTTTCAAAGAAAAACAATGGTGACAGCCAAAATGCCTAACTTGAAGCTTCAAAGCAGTAGTCCACAAAAGAGTATGTGCTCTTGTTGTGATTTGGTCCAAATTTTATGTACAGTGTTTGACTTTAGGTAACATTTAAATAGTGATAATATTATCAGTGTGAAATATTGTACTTTTTGTTTACTAAATTTAGCCTATTCAATATCTACAGTTACTAAAAATAGCCCCATCTTTGCAAGATAGACCAGTAAACATTTGTAAGTTACTTTAGCCCAAAGTACACAGATCCTAAGCTTGTATTTTCACAAAAACACATATATGCTTTCAGCAAGGCAAAGATTTGCACTATAAATATTCATTTGTGATATTTCTTTGGGGAAAATTGTGGGTTTATGATGTGTGTACACTGTTTATGACATGTAATACACAGTAATGTTCTTTTTTTTTTTTTTTTAAGCAATTTCACTCGAAGCAGGAGAGCATAGATTGAGCAGAGATACACCATCAGCTAATTGGCTATCCATTAGTCCTACTCCCTCAGGGAATCTACTTCCTCTGTTGCAGTTTAATTAACAGATTTGGACTGGATCCAGTCACCTCCACACCGCTGCCCGCCTCCACACTTTTTATTACAAAGCTGACAAGTGCTCACAGATTGCACAGAATCTGATCAATAATCTTACAAGCATGTCATGTGGATCAAAGATCTGCAAATGCAAACATGGTCACAGAACGGTTTTGGTTGTATTTCAGTTTTTCCGAACGACACATATGGATGGACTTATCTATGGATAGATAAACACGCAGGGAGGTGTTCGTGTGCACACATGAGTCATTTGGCCCTAAGGCAGTGACTGAAGTTAAAAAACAAAGGAGACTCTGCAGCACCCACAGTGTCACACTGCTTGTGGAGGGTAGATTTTTGTGAAGGTATACAGGAATTTGTGGGGGGTGCATTAATGCTTACATGCGTAAGACTGTGCCACAGTTCTGCTAAAACCAATATCAGCAACACTTTTATCCTCTTCCTACACAGCGTGCAGGACACATGCAGTTTATGAAAAAAAAAACGTACCACAGGTGAACAGACAAGAATGAAAAGCTTTAAAAGCTAAAGAGTGGTGACCAATTAAATTAAAAGCTCTGTTTCCTCGGACAGTGAAAGAAAGAGAAAACAAAGGGTCACGTAGAGGTTAATTATTTTTTTACCTGTTTCACAGCAGTCCATTAATTCAAGCAGCAGGGCTTCAATAACAGTGCTCTAAACCTTATCAGTGATAGTGGAGCAGATTTCATATTCCTTCCTCTTCTTTCCTCTTTCTTTTATTTCCTCTCTACCCTGTTGTTATTTTCCCCTCATCTCTTCTTCTATCTCCTACACTGCATGTCACCCTTCTTCATCTCACTTGGTTTCTCCTCATCTCTTCTCTTGTGGCTCCTATTCCTCTTAATTCTGCATTTTTTGTTTTTAGTTTGAGTTCAATTTCTATTCCAGTTCCCTTTTTGTATGTGTGACCCTTTAGAGCAAATCAAGGCCTCCACTTCCACCTGTATCATTTTTAAAAGCCACATACACAAAAATCCTAATTTTTACAGTAATTCCAGGAGTTCTGTATCAGCAGCAGACAGATGAGCACCGTGACTGATAATGTTTTTGGCTTGCTGCACCTCCAGAGACACGGCGCGAAATATATCTCACATTAATAAAGAGTATTAGAGATTAAAATAAATCCCACCAATACACAGCAACAACTAGGACAAAAGAGAAAGACACGAGCAACACACAAAGCACAGACTGCTAAAGTGAACCTAAACACGACACCACCTTCACCTGATGTATTTACACGTAAGCACGAGTTTATGGCTGTGTGCTGTCCGCTATCACAGGTGAATTCTGCAAATAAAAATGTATGCAGCTGCTTTTGTTTGGACGAGCCATCAAGTTTATGTTACTAAGTAAGACAAACTTAACGACGCTTCATTTTCACAGGCTTGTGTTAGCAGCAGTGTGGATTAAAAAGGCTGTCCTGCACACTCTAAACAGAGACTAAAGACATGACGAAGGGAAAAATAAATACTTACAACTATCCGCTCACTGTTTTTCACCGGTCTGCACTTCAGCTGAGAACAGACTCACTCGGAGCCGTGTACAGCGGAGACTGTCTCAGAGCTCTGAGAGCTGAGGGGGTTTGTAAGAACAGCCTCCACCTACAATACCCACGCGCGCACACACGCGCCCGTGTTTCTTTTTTTTTTCTTTCCTTCTGTTTTTTGTTGGAATTTCGAGGACCCTGCAGACACGACGTATTAGCAACTCTCTTAACCAATACAAACCACAACCCTAGTTCTAGAAATAGTTTTAGATGTTTTAAATATACATTATATTATAATGGTTATGCTCGGCTTAATCACATCCTGTATTATCCTCTCTCGTAGCTGAGCAGCGAATGTTGTGGAAATCTGAAATAAATCAGATTTCTCTGTGACTTTTATTTGACTTTGCATTGGTTCAAATTACCAGCAGGTCCATGTGCTTTTTTACAAAGCACCTCCAATATTTACACATCACTGCCACGATCACAGAATACGGTCAGAACACTGTGTGCGAAAGATAACTGATGTATGAGCGTGTGGTATACCTGAAAGATTATTCTTTGCCATCATAACACAAAGCAATACTTTAATCCAACTGAAATAAATAAAATCTGTTTATTTAGTCAAATTATTAGGAAGATATGCTCATAATAAATTGAATACATACCAATCAAGTACATTTCATTTGGCCAGATTCCATTAAACGTTTTTCCTGGACTTAAAAAAACAAAGACACAGAAAGTTGACATGTAATTAAATTAAAATCAGCATTCTGAGCATAAATATTTTCTGAGTGCATGAAGACAGATTGACAAAATATGGAGCCTTTCACTGAGTCAGGTCAGCTTCACAGTCTTAAAATTTTCCATTACACTAATCAGTTGTTAATACCTTTGCAGGGAGTGCACAAATGAACAAACAGCTAAGCACCTGAATCTCTGGAGCCATTACTCATAGCAGCAGCTTTGGAAAACCATCACTTTATGCTTTTTAAACAAGTGCCATTAACATAGGTTCATTTTTT